GCGACGCCCTGCCACTAAGCCAAGGAAGCCCATAAATTTCATAGTGGCTCAGTCGGTACAAATGCGACTTTTCGAAGCTAAACTCCACGGTTCGAATCCTATAGGGGACTGGATTCGAATTTCCTACGAAATATATCTCTCGCAATATCGTGTCACGTGCAAGTACCGCGCCACACCTCCTTCGATTCGCCATTGCCTTCGCTCCTCTTTCCTACGGCTCGCACGGCTCCCCAAGTACTGAAGATTCCAAATCTTGGTTGAAGTACACGTGGGTGACATGTACTGATTAAGCATTGTCAATACATGTTATAACATTCAAAAAAAAAAAAAAATTTTCCACTTGTATTTGGATTTTGGACCAGCAGGTGATATGTATTGGTTGGACAATAAATACATATTATGAAGTTCAAAAAAAAAAAAAACTTTTCAAGCTTTTTGCTAGTTAAATTTAAATAGTCGAAGTCTTTTTATCATGCACTGTGTCGTGTTGTTTTTTATCATGCACTGTGTCGTGTTGTTTTTTATCATGCACTGTGTCGTGTTGTTTTTTATCATGCACTGTGAAGTCTGTTGTCGCTAGCCCATACCACTTCACGTGTTGGCTTGTTGCTGTCTGCACAAATTCCTACATTTGAGTTCAGGCTGAAGTACCTTCAGGCACGTATGTTTGCTCTAGTGATTCCAGCCCTCTGTTGCCAGCTGTTGTGTTGCAACTCTATCGATCCTCTCCAGTTGGTGATGGTTCATCTCCCTATGTTTCAGCGTGTCACAATGATCTCATTGTCCCTATGTCAGTTGCGCCCTACTTCATCCCTTGATGTTGCATTTTCAGTCTTTAGCTGTTACGCATAATGGACCAATAGCAGTTTTGTTTGCCCAGGTCCGCGATTGAACCTTCGTCACCCCTTTGTTGCTTCCCCCGCACTAACATCTCCCACCAGTATGTTTTTGTTTGTTCCTGCTATATTGGCTTGGACAATTGATTCCCAAGCCCCGACCTTATTGTAGGAACTGTCATGATCCCCCTGAAGTGTCGCGTGCCCATGTCTCTGTTTGTTTACATTTGAGTGCTAGTTTGTCTGCTAGTTTTGATTTAAGCCTGCCTGATGATCCCCGCTTACCTCTTGACGTTGCAATTGATATGCTTTCACCATGGCCTTTTTATCCTTCGCCTGCTTTTTCCCAGTGGGTTCTTGTTCTTCGTGCACTTAACTGCATTTGGTCAAATTGTCTGGTTATGAGCTAGTATTGTCTCCCACTCTTAATTCTATCTTGTCTGCTTTTGTTGATTTGGATATGCTTAAGGGTTCTTAAACTTTTTACCTTTCCTATGGTTGGCTCCCCATGTGCGGCCAATTTACGTTTGTTTCTTACACTTGTATTTGGATTTTGCACCAGCTGGTGACATGTATTGGTTGGAAAATAAGTACATATTATGAAGTTCTGAAAAAAATTAGGATTACTGCTTTTTCCTAATGCTGTGCGCGCTTCCCTGTGCGATGATCCATGACCAGCTTGTAAGGCACTTTGGATGTTGTTTATTGTTGTCCATTGTATATGCAAAATATATTATAATACTGTTCAGAAAAAATTAAGAACACTACGTTTATCCAACCTAGAGTTCAATCTTTGACTTAGCCACTGCTTGGAAGCAAACGTGGCTTCCTTGGTGACATTACCAATTATCACCACTCTTTCGTGTAATATCTTGTCAAATGCAAGTATTGGGCCACACCTCCTTTGAATCTACTGAAGATTCCAAATCTTGGTTGAAGTACATGCAGGTAACATGTACTGGTTAACACATTATCAATACATGTTATAAAATTCAAAAAAAATAATTGGGACTCATAATAATAAGTGTCAAATTTTTAACAGAGAATTTTTTTGAACTTATTATTTACTTTTCTAGCAATACATATCACCTGCCGGTGCAAAATCCAAATACAATTTTAAAAAATACACCTAAATTAACAGCACATGGTGTTTGTGGTGAGGCGGAGCAAAAGTAAAAATTTTAGAATCTCTTTTTGAAAAATATTATTTATTGAGACATACAATATACCATGCATCATAATAAACAACAAACAAAAGTGCCTCACAAGATTTATTATGGATCAGCACATAGAATCTTTTTTTGAACAGTTTTATTTTATTTATTTTGCTCATACAATGTCAAACCCAAAAAATAAAAATATAAATAAAATAGGAGTCATTCTTTTTATTCCTTTTTTATCAATGTTGTTATTTATTTTTTCGCATACAATGCATAAAAAAAACAACACCCAAAGTGCCTTACAAGATGGTCATGGACCAGCACAGGGTAGCGCTCAGCATAAGGAAGAGCAACAAAGAAAGACAGAGAAAGTAAACTCAAACCAGTCGCTACCCTTCAGATACCACTAAGTTACCAAAAAAGACAGGTGAGTAATAAATAATGAAAAAGAAAACGGTTGAAGATCCACAAATGCAGGGCCAGCGAGAGTCCAGAGGAGAAACTTCTAATGGCAGACCCATACAGTGACGCTAAATCTTATGAAGACAACGAAAAACAATATACCACAGTGCAAGGTTCGCTGGGTTGACAATGCGAAGTGGACGAAGGCTATCAATTGAAATATCAAGCTGAACCTGTAAAACAGGAACAGGAACAGGAGGCAACAGTAGATCAAGACACAAACATTCTGAAACATGAGATCTAGATAGAGTTGCAGTGCGGCAGCTGCAACACTGCTTGCGGGGGTGATAAAACAACCGTCCTAGTCAATACTGCAGAAGCCTCAAGTATCTCCGAAACAGCAACCCAAATAACGAAATGAAGGCTTGACAGGCAGGGTCTGACCATGAAGAAGCAAAGGCGAATTATCAGGAATGGGAATTCTTGTGAGAATTACACACTTCAAAGGAGCAAAAGAAAACCCACGAGCTTGGGCAAACTGTTCACAAACAGAGAGAAGAACTCCATAATCCAAAGTAAGTCTAAACAAAGCCAAATCATCGGCAAATAAAAAAGAATTGTATCGTGGCTTGGCAGGATGAAAGAGTGCTTTTGGAGGGGCAAAAGGTCGGAGGAGCCCAGGCAGAGGATCAAGAAAAGTGATATAGAGAAGTGGACTGAGAATAGAACCTTGCTTGAAACAAATCTCTAAACAACTCAAAAGCATCTGAATAACAATTTGCAGCAACCACTCTGAAAGAGCAAAAATCAAACAGAGACTTCAAAACAAAAACAAATAGTAACCGTACTCCCCTAGAAAGAAGCTCAGGCAAAAGAATTGCATAATTTGTGGTGTCATAAGCTTGAATATCTAAAAAAAAACCAGAACCCAAGGAATCTTGGCATTAGACGCCTGGGAGATACACGCCTGAAGACCAAAAACACATTCCATTCCGAGCAGTGTGACTGAAATCCTGCTTGGGCAGCATCAAGTGGGCGTTGAGACGTGATAGCAGAATAAAGATGTGGCAACAACGCTCGCTCAAATATTTTTCGGGCAACACACGAAAGAGTAATGGGGCGATAATTACTAATGTCACCAAGCATACCACGTTGCTTCCAAACTGGAAACTTGGTGCTGCCCAAGATTCCATGAAGTGGGTGTAAGACTACTGCGAAAAATGGACTAAGAAAGCTCCAAGAACAATGGAGCAAGAATAGCTGAAATTGGGCGATAAAGTTCTGCAGACAGATGATCATGACCTGGGGCAGACTCCAAAGGGCAGTCCCTAATAGCTAGAACAAATGCTTCAACATCAAATGGCAGCTGAAAATCACACAGAACAATTGAAGATGAAACCAAGTCAGCAGCTTGGGCATTGTATACACAAGCAAAATAATCAGCATATTTAGCTAACGACTGAGGATTGAAATCTAAACCATAAGCTGAAAGAATTGTGGTGCAAGAGAGAATTATTGTCACAGAATGCTGAACGAGACTTACTACCCAACAAAGCAATCTCAGGGGGCAGAGGAGTAACAAGCTAAGCAAGTAAGTCTGAAAAATCCAGAGGCAAACCTCTACAGTTGAAGGTTCCAGCACGAAGAGTCCAAAATAATTACGAGATGCAGGTTCAGAACACAAAGAACAGGCTAAAGAAACAGTAGCTTCAAAGTCTGCAGCGGGAAGATTAGAACGAAGATAATGAAAAACTGCAGGATCATGAGTAATTCGCAAAAGGTGAGCAAACCTTTTGTGAACAGCCTTTGCTACAGCAGCTTGACGTTGCTCAAGTGATTGAATAGACCCAGAACGACGCTAGGGTCAAAAAGGTCAACAGGCACCTCTTCACCTGGAAAAATGTCTTTGAGGAACTTGTCAGCACAGTCAGAAGTACAAATAAACTCTGCAATGTTACGCCCAATAAAACTAATATGGCAAATGTCACGCAAAAATTGAGGGTTTCCAGAACTTCGATTAACCACAGTGTGGAGCTGATTAAGTGGCTGACGACTAATTTCTTTAAACCTAATAGTAGCAAAACCAGCAGCACGATTACGAACAAGCTGAGGAGGATTGATCAAAATTGGTAACTCAGCTGGATAATCAATCACCAATCTGGGCAGCTGTAGTGATCTACAAGCAATTGTCAATGCGGCAAAAAAGGCGGCCTCAGTTTCTGGTTCCAACACTGGGGAGAAATTGCACTGCACAAGCAAACGCAGACATCACCAAAGGATGAGATCCAGAAGTCTGAGTAGGGGCAAGAACACGCAGAGCATCCAAGAATCGGTCATGTGGAGTTCGCGAGGAAGGGGTAGCATGATCAGCTGCAGAGGAGTTGGTCTGGCACAAGAAGCAGGTCGTTGAGGCGGAGGGGATTTTGAAGCTCGACGTTTCCCTTTTGGATCAGCTTCAGCAACGGTAATTGGGATTTGGACAGCATCATCCATGTGAACATCAACAGGTGTTGGGAGAGATCCATGTTCTGAAGTTACTTCTACGTGGTCACGTGATCGAAGCCTACACTAAATATGAAGAGAACTGGGTAACTTTTTTCGAGCTTCCTTGGCTTAGTGGCAGGGCGTCGCACTCGTAATGCGAAGATCACCAGTTCAATTCTGGTAGGAAGCAGTAAAGATACATTTCTTCTGTGTTCTTCCTGTACTTCTGGCTGATCCTTTAATTTATGCTTTTGGTTCCTATAGTGGAGCTTCATCTAATTCTATAGTATTCGGTCTGATTCTTCTCTGCTAGATCTGATTTTGTTAAAGCAGCACTAAACATTTGATGGTTTGCAGCACTAAATTAGTCCAGTCCTGCTAAACTAGGTTTTCCATAAATGTTGTAAAGAATATAGCTGCTAGTTGATTCTGATGTATTTGTTGAACTGTACTCAATCACGTTTGAACAGAGTATAGAGTCGATCCTGAGACTCATACATGCCATTCAATCAGCTTTGCACACTCTTATATAGGAGTATGGCTTAATTACTAGACTACTGTTCCCAATAAGTAAATATCACTATTAATTACGGAATAGTGCTTCAATCAGACAATGGATATTTGTTCCTAAACAGGAACAAAGAATATGCTTGGACTGAAATAACGCTTAATATAAGCAATACTACCATATCACAGAAGACACGTAAGTACGCATTTCCACCATCATGAATACATCGTACTCTTCCTGAGTAAACTATTGCTTTCGCCTTAACAATTATAACCGACAGGTCTCTGTATCCTGCAATTCTATAGTTGGCCTCAGTGAGGCGTAGATCGTGTTCTACTGGTAAAGAAGGTACATATATAGGAATAGCAAGCTACCTACAGTCCAGCCCATCCGCCAGCCTGGAATCACAACCCTCCATAGTACTAACACAGCAAGATAACCCAAAGGTTGAAACTACCACATGCTCCGATGGCGCCTGCAACCGTTAGCAGAACACCCCAACAAGTACCCTCAAAACAAACTGATCACTCTAACAGTAGGTGCTAAGTTTATAGACATTCGCTACCATGGTCTTGGGACTTAGGATTTACAACCTTGTCACCACTTGGTCAGGTCACCAAGCATTACCAATAGCCAGGGTTTCACTCTGGATGTCCGAGTGCTGTTTTGCAGAGTATTATTTGCATAACGACGTTTTCTGATTTGTTTATCACCTATGAGCAAGAGGCTCTCCCAGCAAGGACCAGAGCTTGAGCTGGGAGGAGCTGGTAGAAACCTCTGGCACACTAATCTTTTGGCATAAAGAGCACCATGGCTCTGTATGGAGATTGTTCACAATAAACCAAGCTCTGCCAGCCTTGCAGTGTAGGAATTGGGTGGGTTATTCTACATAGTCTGCTGCTCTCTTGAGTGCCCCATTTTGCCTTGCCCCATCAAAGCAAAAGCAAGCAATTTTAGGATTTAGTTGGGCTGGTTACGAGACGGTTGTCACCCTTCACCTCAGTAATGTGTTTGCTGTCTGGTAAATTTTTTGAACACAAATTCTTCTATGTGCACGACAAACCATCCGCCATATGTTTCCTTCCCATATGCTCCTTGATTCATGTTCCCCAGTCAATTCCATATCGTTGGCAGCTTCACAATTTGAATCAACAGCATCTAACGAGAATCCTTAATCTTGGATTTAAATCCAGTCCGATAAACCACAATGTACGAGGACTCTATTAACCTTGCTGGCCAACGACATATCCAACGTGGACACCCACTCCAACAGAGCCCAGCAACATGTGGATGACTTTACGTGCGCAGAACAGAGATTAGTTGCTTTAAGATCACGCAGTGAGAGGACGCGTACAATGGCCAAAGATTATGAGAACAATATCTCTTCTGATTTGCAGGTAAAAGATGATTCTTACACTGATGCTATGAATAGGCACTATTAAAGAGTCAACTGCTGAACAAAAACAATTTTGAAGAAGTTATGTGGAGACAAATGAGGAAGTAGAGACAGACAATGAAGGTGTCGATGATTCCATAGAGGAAGAGGCTTTTGTTGCTCTTGCTGATGAATCAGAAGAAAACGTCTTGGACAACAATGAAAACACGCCACTAGACGTACTATCCACTGCCAGCTCTTCATGATCAAAGCAGCTCAGCTGATCAAACATTGGCTTAGATAAAGATTCCACTGGATACGACCTAGATGGGATGTTCAATATAACTGCGAGCAGATAATCAGATTCACTAGACAATGGATGAGCCTTCAGGGACAAGTATTGCTCCTGGAACTAAGTACAACCAGGACGCGAGATAAACAATAAAACATTTGAGAAACCAGGAGAGAAAGAATTCTGGCCAAAGCTCAAGCACATAAGATTGCCATGTAACATTCTGGAGCGCCATGGACAGTTGAGAGATAGTTAACGGCATTGACACTAAGCGGAATGGGATCACATTACCAAGCATACCACTGATACCTGAAACCTTGGAGCCTTCAAGGAAAATCCGTATAGCAAGCTCTTGTCAACATTCTACTGGAGAAAAATACGCTTATGAGCATTTTAAACTGATCAGCGGAGCGAACATTCAGTTGCGTGAACTGTGGAAAACACTTATGGGAGATTGGGACCTTCACGCTCACAGGTTTCCATGTTCAAACTGTGAAAACAGCTTTGCCTCTCTTTGCGCTGCCCATGCTCACAACAACGGGACATGCTTGAACACTGGCTACATCTGCAAATTTTGCTCAAAAGGCTCCAAGAATTCAAACCCATCAAGAGAGTAGGTAGACAATTCTTCAATTCCTGGAAACTTTAAAAATGCACCCGTGGATGGATATGATCAACGGTAATCGCAAATTGATCATTGCTGTGATTTCTGAAAAATGGTTGCCAAGAACTGGTCGATAAATCAGCACCTGAAAGAAAACACATCAAAGCTGACCAATTGACAAAGTGTTTCGTAAGGTATTCATGTTTGGTATTCACAGTATTTCTAGGCTCAACCCAGCTGCCAGACACTAGAAAATGCATATGCTTTGTGCCCTGGTCATCTATTGTGAATGTAAATACATCGAGTAACATTTAGCTATGTTTAAAGATAGCTATGGTAAGTGGCATGGATGCATTAGAGTTCTTGGTCGATATTTGTCGCGCCTTATCAATGTTCTATTGAGTGGCATCATGGTAACAGAGGATCTCAATGGATGCACCATAGTCACAGCACACTTCACGACATCTACAACCGCATATGGTGGGTCCTGGTCTGAAACGTTGATGTCCACTCCTACTCCAACCACCGCTTCAACAAGCAAAATAGTTACAATGCTGAACGGGAAAATAGGTTCTGCAGACGCAGACGACGATGTTGACCCATTCCAATTCTGCAGGTGCTAATGTGCGATCATGTCCTTGTAGGCACGTAAAGGACTCGTACGAGGACATTTCGGATTCGGGATTGCGGAGAGATCAGACTACGGAACGCTAGCGAGTCTCATGCGGTATTGCGCAACCGGACGCAGCAGAGCCGTGGCAGGAGGCATGTACATTAAGACCTCTCGGAAGTAACTCCGGAACAGAACCATCGACGCACGCTGCTTTGTCGCAGATCCCCTTAAAGCGGTCAGAAAGCGGCCGGAGATGACGACAGGCACAGAGCTTGTCGTCATGTTCGACCTGGCAATGCTGGGCTGGTCACTGAACGGAATAGCGATGTCATAACCGATACGGGATGCGGAGGTGACTCGCCCAGCGATAGTCATGCTCTCTGAGGCCAGCTTGTTCGATGGAGACAGGTGGGTAATGGGACATTGGCGAAGTTCGAAGCTGCTGAGGCTCAACGGGGAGTTTAGTGCACGGAGCGATCGATATAGTACGGAGCGACGGAGTGGAACAAAAAAACTTAGGGAGCCCTGCTTGACAATCACTTACTTCCAAAAAGAAGGCAGCCAAAAAGTCAACCACCCCACACGAACTACAAAACATTGTACCACTATAAACATAAGCAATACGCCCGAAAACACCACTCTGGAAGGCATAATTCCATCACATTGCCACTTTTCTCACTGCCCAAAAACGCACACACGAAAGAAGAAGCAGATGAGAGAAGCACAGGTTCGTGCAGCAAATGCACATAGACGAGCAAAACAAATTTCACTGCACTGATAGCACTCGATAGAATCCAAAAACGAATGGCCAACTTGCAAACCTCTTTTTTGGTTGTTAAAAGTGAGAGAAAAACAAAACGATGAACATCAAAAAACAACATAAAAAAACTGGGCAACAAGGCAGACCGCATTAAACCACATAAAAAAAGTGACTCAAACACAACGCACTACTTTGTAAAAAAAGAACTAAACTTTTTTGATTTTTGGGAGGATGAGTTGGACAGACTACAATACGTCCAACTCTGGCATCAATGGCGATAACGGCCTCAGCGGTGGCAGCAAATCTTCTGTAACACCTTGTGTCGGCCCATCGACCCTTCGATCATTGTGACCCCACCCACCAGGACCACTGTTGCTTCTATCGTGATCCAAATCAATCACCCACTCCTCATCCTCCATCCGTGTGGGCGTCGCGCTCCGTGAACGAGAAACACTGCTCCCCGTGAACGAGCGTCGGCTCCGACGTCGGGATCCAGGCGCCGGCATCGCGCTCGATAAGCCGTTACTGCTCATCCACGTCCCAAACGCACCCAATGATCCTGCAACGATACTATTAGGCAAAACAAGGAATTTTCAATGGATTGGAAACTGACCTTGCGGCTGAGACGAGGGCGAAGTCGTCGGAGGTGTACCCGATGCACTCGGTCGTCCTAGACTCCCGCTCGGATCGTTTTTGGACTTTGCGTTCATCGCGCTCCGGGTCGGCACGCGCGCTTTCGCGAGCATGCGCGAGGCGGACGGACGGGGCTGGTGGATAATCCAGGGGGGTTGGTTGACACCCGAATACGGAGATCTGGAGGGCAACCGCTGGCTCGAGATGCTCGGGGACGGCTCGCCGATCGACGATGTCGCGGACCAGCGGACTGCGTTAGGGTCGAGGCTGTTTGATGTGACTGATCCGCCCGTTGCTGCGACGTGGCTGTCGAAATCAGAAGTGGTGTCGGACCCGTCGCCTACAACGTCGCGGAAACGGAGCTGGGTAATGTCGACAGGGTGCGCGAAGGGACCTTGGTTTCCA